TTGCAGCGAGTCCGTTAACTATGCGTACCCTAATCATCAGTAATTGCAGCGTTTCGTTTGTCATTAACATTACTCTTTGATCATCGCCGAATCATCACTTTCGTGTTCTATTTAGCATCATCAAAATAATTGCAGCACGTTCGGCATATATACGAAACCCAATAATCAGTAATTGCCGCATTTTGTTTGCTATTAAAGTATTCATGTTACAGTGTGCAAACCCTCCCTGATCATAAGTAGATACTTGAAACGATTCCTAGATAGCAACTTTCGTCCAAAAATCAGCCTCGCAAAAATAATTGCAGCAAGTTCGTTACGTATCCGAAAGTCGAAACCCACTTATCAAATAATTGCAGCACTTCCCTTGTCATTGATATTGCTATCAGCTCATCAGCGGACATTTGAAACTCCTGCTTGACAACAACTTTCGTACTTTATTCAGTCTCAAATAATTGCAGCGAGCCCGTTATACACGTAAGACCTACGTAATATAAGCGTAACATCAAATAATTGCGAAATCAAATAATCACAAACTCTCCTTCTTATCAACTGCTCTCTCTTTCTCTGTTGTAGCTGCAGTAGACACTTGAACGATTGCTTCACAACACAACTACTCCGCCACAACGACAGTGTAATTGTTTTGAATCACAACCGTTTAACTGCACCTTGTCATCATGACCCGACCTCTTTTTGTTCCCAATCTAAAACCACACATGTGTTCGGCAAGATTTAAATGATTTCCCCGTCCTACCTTTAGTGAGAGGAACCCGCACGAGCTCTCCCATTAATTGCCGGATAAAAGAACGCACAGTGAGAAGATTGGCCGGACAAAGATAGCCCTCAGCTCAGGATGCCCTCGTGGTTGGCTTTTGTTTAACTCCATGTAAATTTATCATCGCTTGTATTTGAGTATTTGTGCTCCTTTGACACGGGGATATCCGAATTGCCATTACTTCCGCCCTGTGAAATGCAAGGTACCACCAAGTGCCATACGGCTTCGAACTCTCGATTCTAATTGCCACTTGCCAGACTCGTTCCACTTGAGTCGGAGGAGCTGGAATGTTTTGATAATAATTCCTGTCACCGTGCTATTCTGAGCATCACAGCATATGCTTAGTTGCATGCGATCCTACTATGATCTAGTGCTGGACGGTCGCATTGTTTAGGATTCGGTCATTGATTTCAGTATATTTAAGCATTCCTAAAACAAGGATTACTATTAGCCACTATAGGGACGATGCCAGACCCGCCCTAGGGACGATGGCAACCCGTCCAAGGGAGGCCAGACCCGTCCTAGGGACGAATCCTTACCCAAACCACGTCATCACCTGGTCCTTATGTCTAAGATGGGATAATATTGCGAAGGAGGGAGCTGCCAGCTTTTATTGTGACTTGTGAGAAGTGATTTGGTGAATACTGAATAGTGCTGCATGGTGATGAGATGATCAAACTGTGTCAAATCTTAACTTGCCGCAATTTTTCGTAACATTGCCCTTTAGAAATGATTCATTGCGTTTCAAAAAGTATCCGGTTTAATGATTTAACTTTAAGGCCAATTATCACTTTAAGGTAACCAGACATGTGAATTTGTTTGAAACTTTTCAAAAGAAATGCTATCAAAAATGTAACTTCTATGACGTGTTTTCGCAACTTTTGTCTTGTGTGAAATGTTTGATTTCTGCAGGTTTCCTCAACAACCCATTGAATAAATTGTATGTAATAAATTGTATGTAATTAAAATATATAATGCAATAAAAATAAAGAGTAAACAATAATTTGCCAGGGCCCAAATAATAATATTCGTATATATACGACATAATAAACTGACATCATCGCTCAATTAAAACTCGGCTTATTTCAAAGAACTGACATATGTTAGTTCAGTACCGTTGATTTTGTCATTTGTGCTAAAGGCAAACGTTTAAAAATCAAGAAAGTGTTCGGACATTTAAATTTGCTTGCCATTTATTTGTTTCCACCATTCAACCACCCTAAAGTAACATCAATTTTCCCTAAAAGAAAACCATGTTCCACGCCAACTTAAAGATCAAAAAGTACAAGAAGCCAAAGAGGAAATCGAATCATTCGGGAAGTTTCAACGAAACTCCCGTACAGAAAGATGATGAGTTTCTAGGGAACCTGCTGAGAAGATCTGAAGTACCCAGGTTCAGTGTGACTGGGGACCCATTCGACCTGGACGAGGCAGATTACGAATGTGAGTAGTTATTCAGTTCTATCTTTTACACATCTGTAACTTATAAGGCTGTTTATTACGATAAAATGATAATCTGTTAAGGTGTTTAATACACTGTGCAGGGTACTGTACGTGTGTACGTGTGTACGCGTGTATGTGTTTGATATGTCAAGATTAGTTGCTTCAACATCCTGTATCAACTGACATCTGTTAATATGCGTGCCCCAGCCCTCACCTGCCTTGACATCCTTATAGCACTGCATGCCTATTTGCCCGCTATAAGTTATAATACAGCCACAGGGTGGTCATTTACTCTGGGCCACCCTGTACATTCTGATCTCGATCCTGGACCTATGGGACAAATTTGCTCCTTAAAACCAAAACCAAAACCAATCCACCATGATAGGCCTCCAATTATTACTGATGGCCTTTTAGTTGTAGTATGGCCTACCAAAATGCACCCCAGGATGTTGCCATTCTGTGGCTCTCTCCTCCGCCTAGATTCACTGCAATTATATAATTATGTGAAAACTGTATACCCATATTCAACCCATATTTCCGCGAGTATCATTAGAGTTATACGCAATTTCCCTGCAAGTAATATGGATTATTGAAAGTCTGTCTCTCCTGATCCTGGATAGCATTGTATCAACCTATAACTGGATCGGAGGAGCACGTTGTGCAGCAGAATCTAGATGAGATTACAGCACCTACCACTGCAGATTAAAACCGGATCAGTAGATACAAGCCGGCAAACAGCCGGAGAAATTACCTTTTGACTCAGATCTCCAGGAGCAGACAGAGCTACAATTAGACGTAGGAACAATCTGGACGGATGTGGTATTTTTAATATTCTAATGGCTGGTAAATGATATCAGTAAAACCACTACCATATGGGCTAGTTTATACTTAAATGTACTCTCTAGTTTCTCTCTCTAGTTTCCGTTTGATTCGTTTGTCAGGCTCTGGGAAATCTAAGTACAGGAATCATACAATCATACCGACCATTGTCATAGCTTCGTAACGGTAAACAAAAGACTGGATACAGAAGAAGCAGGAAGATGCCAATGTTTGACTACTCTGTCCCTCGCTCCCAGCGGACCAGCACAGCCGGGAGCAAAAGTTCCAGCCATAAACACAACAACAACGTTTCTCCGAAGCCTCCTCCCCGCCTGGTGAGACGTGACTCCACTTTAAGGCGTCTCCCCAGGTCTAACAACGCATCAATAAGATCTCATGACACTTCTCTGGGTCCTTCCAACGGTGGTAACCATGACAACGGTGACACGTACCAACCTCTCGGGAGTGTTTCCTCGGGGAGGAGTGAGGATTTCCGGAACATGTCTGCGGCAGTGTGCCCTTTTGATAATGTGTGGAGGGCTAGTCAGGATTCCCGGTTGGATAGTAAATTCAAGAAGCTCACTATTTGGGAGAAGGGATGTCAATTCGGTAAGATATTCAGATGTATCACTTTTTGTATTGCTATTAATTGTAAATATTGTATTTGTATGTATACAATATTGGCAATTGTTAGTAGTTATTATTAGTACCTGATTATTAATGGTTAATACATATTACTAATAATTATCAATATTATGTTATACCTTGGAGGGAATTCAGCTTTAAAAGCAACTAATTAAAGAATGTAATATAAGTATAACTATCAGCGGAAATGAAAATTGTTAATGAAAATGTTTGAATCTATACCATGTCTATTGTCTAGTGCCTACCAGTGCTTTTACACCACAACATGTTACACGCCAGAGCATTACTTATTCAATCTTGATCCTTTTGTAATAATCTGTTGTCTGGCGATGCTGTCTAGCAATACTTTTACAGCTATTGTACTCGGGCAGTGAGTCATGATTAAGTCATAACATCACTCAGGATCAGTTGCTAACCATTAAAATACAAATAATTAAAAACCGAAAAAAAGCGACAGGTGAAATTTCCAAGATTCATTACCTTTTTGAATCGTTTAATCGTTTAATTGTGGGGATTGGGGACCATGCGTATACCATTATAAATGAAGGATTCTCTAGACGATGCCAAGGGCACGCTAGTTCACAAAACTTTAGCTAACTAACACATCTACTAACCTACAACTGCACTGCACACTATCCTATGGGGTTGTGTAGCGTTATTAGATAGGTTAGAGTTATTATCATATAATCTAACACTGTGTGACTGTGAATTAAATCAAAGTTTGTGTTTCGTCCTCGATTAAACCACAATACGAATTGTTATTCATCCAAAAATAATGAAAGACTCCTGTGGATGAAGATTCTATATCGCATGAGATAAATTATTCCAAAACAGTGCCGACATATGTATCATTTTACAGCAACATTGAAATTTTGCAACCGTTTTAATTTACTTTTATAGTTTTATGTCTAGTACCAAGGACTGCGTCTCGTATCGCGTCACGTAACACGGTCTGCGTAGCTAGCTAGGCGGCACGTACTCACGTACTCACGACACTCACGTACTACAGTGCGAGATGGGGTCTTATGTCCTAGCTAGACGGCACGTAACGCGTCTAGTAATCGATTACGTGTTATGTACCGTCTAGCTGAGCTGGGGTCTAAGATAATCTTCGTCCAAGTTCTGTACCCACACGTGATACCACGGCTCTACAAAAACTTCAGTTAATCTACCGACGTACCTATAATCTATATCACTTGTATGTATATATTATATATAGTACACTGCTCCATGAGGCTGTACTGTATAATACCTTGATGTGTGTAACGGTGTGGGACCAGTCTTTATCATCGTCTTCTTGTACTGTTTGATATGAGATGTGGTACTGTTTGATATGAGATGTGGTATCGTTTTCGTCGCCGTATAACCATGAAGAACGCGTTGAGAATACTTCTCCATGTCGCGATTACTTCTTTTGTTATGTTTGAGTTGTCGTTGAAGTTCTTTGAACCGGATTGCTTGACCTGCTTATTTAACATATCCGACATCAAAATACCAACCATGTGGACTGAGTCACCTCCAACTAAACTGTCCGTGAAGCAGAGAGACGCTGATGGTTCAGCTTCAGAGAGATACGTTGAACCAGACTTGGGTAGCTTGTCAGGAGAAGAGAGAGCAGATCTAGCGAGAACCCGGTGCAAGGAAGTATACGGACCACACCCTAAACTGGAGAACTTGCAGTACCCTTTTGAGAACAGGGTGTTTCTAGCTAATAATGAGAAGCTGGCCTACTGTGCAGTTGCTAAAGCGTTCAGTTCTAATATCAAGAGGGTAATGATGTTCCTCTCCCGTTCAGGCAGGAATCTAAAGAAACTTAAAACTGACATTAGTCCTATAAATAAGATTGTGTACCCACACCAGCTTAACTTCTGGCCTAACTCCACGATATTAAAACACTATTCAGACTCAGGACAAACTCAGGTCTTAAAGGACTATTATAAAATTGTTGTTGTAAGAGACCCCATCTTGAAAGCAATCTCAGCATACAGGGACAAGTTCTTCAGTAAAACTGATGACAAATTCCATCAGTACTTCAGACAGGCAACGGGGAAGGCTATCTGCGTTGCAATGGCAAATTATAGGGAGCGAGAGGACGCGAACAAGTACCTAAAATCAGCAATAGTTGACTGCGGTAGAGACCCTGCCTACATGGACTTACAAGCGTTCCTTGTCTGGTCCTTTCTCGTTCCTGATGAATTCAGACCTCATGCTGCAGATAATCTAAACCCACACTGGGCCCCCTCCATCCCTATATGCAGGATTTGCGACCCCACTGTGAACTATCACTTTATTGGGCACTTTGAAAGAGGCCTGAGAGACATCTACGCTATATTTGATCGAGCAAAATGGGATTTTCCGTTTCCCAGTGTAAGCGATACTTCTATCTCAGAGGAAGAAGCTGTGGCGTTCAAAAAGGAAGTTGACTCTTTGCCGGGGGAACTGGTTAGGGAGCTTAACCAGGCCATGGCGGCTGAACGGTACATCCTGGGTTATACTAATGAGAGACCGCTAATTAACCGCTAATTAACCGTTAATTAACGGGGATTAAACCACTGGTTATTACGTTGGAATTAACTTTTCATGTTCATTATTGGAGGTGGATTAATGGTGGTCTTCGTAACACCTAGATGACGTTTGTGTTGTATTTACTGGGTTGTTTTGATCAACATGATTTCTAAGGGTCAAGAGGTTCCAATTTAAATTATTACTTTATTTTATTTTTTACATTGTAGTCTTGATTTGAGTTTACACTACAATTTAATGAGGCTTCACGTATGCATGAAATGAGAATCAAATTTACGAATTATTTATTCATTCATATAGTGATAAAGCTTTTACTAAAAGTCTCTAACTCCTGATTGAGAAATTCAGTGGGATATCTGCTTTTTAGATATCAAATTCCAAATTTCAAGAAAGCTCAAATTTTCTACGAATCCAAAAGACACTTATCAAACTGATTTGGAAGAATTTTATTGATAGACCAGGACGTAAAATCTTTCAATCGAGCAAAAGATCTATAGACTACATGATACTTAGTCGATTAGCATTATCTACTTAACATGAGTATGAGGAGCCATTACATTTAACAAGGTACAGGTATAATGATACGGTTCCAGTAGCCATTTAGTTTTCTCCAGTTATTTGCCTTGTTTAACTCGCTAACTTTGTCCGCTGAGCACCGTGCTGCTCCCTACTAAACACTAAACACTAATATTGCAATGCCAACAGTAAGTAATATTGGCATTGTACAATAGTACTGTAGTAATCAGAATAGATTCACCTATACCATGTAATCTTAACATTTGGAGTTCATGTCAACTGCACCAAATAACAATATTTTAATAAGTCTGATTGTATTTCACGTCTTATTAGACACCTGTACTATGTCAGTCAACCAAGCCTGTGAAATGCTAGCCAATAATTATTATTGGAGACAGTGGTGGATGTTATGTCTGCTCCTCAGTCACATATAGATCGTGAATAATTTATTTGACCAAAACCCATAATCATGGGTAGAGTGGACCGCTGCCAGTGTCTCTCTTTCCCAAACAAAAAGAAATGATATTAATTTGATTGAACGTTCTCAAATGCAAAATGATACCGTGAATGAAATCGGTCGCTCGCTTTTCCCATTCATTCACGGTTTACGAATTGTAATAAGTTTCGATTGATTAGGTACATCAATCAGATGCTGTAAAAATCTCTTTGGGTTGCGTTCGGGTCGATACCTAGTATTTCGGGGTAAGGGTGGTAGTTATTACTTATTGAATTAGCTGAAGTTTATTGAATCTTTATTGCCGAGTACAGCTGCCTTTGGGTAGTTCTTCTTAATCTATTACAATTGTAAATGAATGGGAAAGGCGAGCGACCGATTTCATTCACGGTATCATTTTGCATTTGAGAACGGTCAATCAAATTAATATCATTTCCTTTTGTTTGGGAAAGAGAGACACTGGCAGCGGTCCACTCTACCCATGATTATGGGTTTTGGTCAAATATCATCTCTTTTTGATTATAATGTCAGGGTACTTTATAAAGTCGAAATATAAACTGATATCTTCATTAATAAGGAGGAAGTTTCAACAATTTCGAAATTTTTCCTTTAAAAACATTTCCTTGTGTTTAGGTAAGCATATCGGTCGATCACTGACTGAATATGCCACTTAATACTCATTCAAGTTGGCATTAAATTCATTTATAATGACATTAAACTGTCGTGGCAAAGCAGAATTTGTTGGAAATCACGAATGAGCAAAATTCTCACCTTTCGCACGTGCAAACTTTGAGCGGACGTTGCGTGCGCATCCAATATTGAATCGCCGTAAATTTTTGCATGTAATTGTTTTATATATAGTTTGATAAGCATGCAAAGTTTCAAAGTATTTCAAGAAGAACTGTAATCACAACGGCACTCTAAAGTTGACAGAAAATGACGAAAACAGCAATTTTCAGTGATTTTAGCAATTTTCTATCAATTTGGGCGTGTCCCCACGTGTACAACTTTTTGATTTTTAACTTTAAACTAGCCTAATGCACAATTTATACCTATAGGAAGCAGAACTGAGTTCCACAACCCAAGGCATGGCCCAACACCAGAGAATACTAAATCGCAAAATTGACGTTTTTATAAAATAATTCTTCAAAAAAGCACAAACTTCAATGACGAATATCTTTATGAAGGAGCAAGCTAGAAAAACATTCCGGTAGATTTTCAGAATGCTTGAACAATTATCTAAGGTAAAAATTTCCTCAGATTTTGAATACAATTACTTTTTAATGGTGTAAAATCATTTTTAAAAGTTATTACTTTGTCAAAAATCAAGTTTTAAAAATGGTTAACTTGATGACGTCATCAAGGGGTGTTCATGACGTAAAATAATTTGTTTATACAATGTAAACTAAAGTGTAAACAATTATTTTCAAGACCTGTGGTCGGAAATGGCTGTATCTTTTATACTTTTGAATCTATGGACAATTAAATACAGGCTACAATTGACTGGTAAAGCGTCTATCTCTGAATATATAATATATACTAGAAACCCGCCGCTAGTCGAAAGCTTTGTTCGAGGAAATTTTAAGCATCAGTTATGTTTTAATTTCTCTTCATCATATAGCCCCAAAACGATACTTTTAAGCGCATAAAAAAATTTCAATCACAACCAAAGTTATAAATATATATAGGTATATAGCGTCATGAGGGTAAATGTGAGCTAGTTGTGAAATTCTGACGTAGCATACAGCATAACACCGCGCGTTGAAATCCGCTGTAGTCGAAAATTTTATTAAAGGACACTATAAGGGAGCGAATTTATCGTTCGAATTTATCGGTCATCGCTAGTCAATGGTCAAACAATCCAACAAATATGCTTTAGTTCACGAACCCTGCTTCACTGAAAATATATGAATAGTACATGTGGTTGCGTGAGTGGTTTGTATTGGTTTGAACTTGAGGTGTATCGGGAATACTGTCAGAATCGTTGTCACTATTGTTATTGTCATCACCGTCAGAGTCACCAGAGTCACCAGAGTCACCAGAGTCACCAGAGTCACCAGAGTCACCAGAATCGGAGTCATCAGAATCAGAGTTACCAGAATCGGAGTCATTAGAATCAGAGCTGTCACTGTCGTCTCCACCACCGCTGGTGGAACGCATATTTTGGGGGTTAATCGAATACCTGGTAGAATTTGATGGATGTTCGTCTAGATTAGCAGAGATTAATGGTACGTTAAGGCACCGCGAAAGTTGAGTGAGATTCAGGGAATCTTGATCTGTAAGGATCGAGTCATCGGTACTGAAAGTGAAATTAAATGTTAATGTTAAAGTGGATAGATACAGATACAACAAATTTTAGATGATATTTATAAAGCAAGAATGGTAATGTAACGACGTTTAAAGTTAAATATATGTAGGTTCTTACGATGAGTCACGGTGTCTGAACTTTTTAATATCTTTAACTGTCACAGCAAATCGATTGTGCAGAGATCTCCGTTTAGCAGGTCTAGATCCACGAAAGGGCATTGAAAAACAACAACAGATGAGTAAAATATGTTAATCGTTGGAAGATATTTCAATCGAGAATGACAGTCAATTGAATTATTGCCAGGCAATTAAAATGGCACGTGATGTTTAACTGCGCAAAGTTATTTGCGTAATCAGAAATCAACAATATTTTTGTTAATGGTGTGTGCGCGGCGTAATGTCAGCATTGTGTGTAGCTCTAGCGAAGAAACCCGCTAGTCGAAAGCTTTGTTCGAGGAAATTTTAAAAATCAGTTATGTTTTAATTTCTCTTCATCATACAGCTCTGTTATACTGTAGACATAATGGAATTTATTTAACAATGGCGACAGCGTTGTTAGTATTCGGATTCCCAAAACGATACTTTTTACCGCATCAAAAAATACCAATCACAACCAAAGTTATGAATATAAGTCATAGCGTGAGCGTAAATGTGAGCTAGTTTTGAAATTATGACGTAGCATACAGCATAACAACGCGCGTAGTTAAGATGTTTTTGCTCGCGCACGTGCATTTTAACGTTGCTACGCAACAGCGCAGTAAACCTTTGCTAAAATAACGACATTATTCTAACGGTTATTTTACCTCACTTCCGACGTTAATTATAAAAAATCTAAAGTCTAAATCAAAATTCTAAGAATGCTATAGCCTATTCCTATCCTTTTTCTACAACCCTGCTAAAAATGGCGAGGTTTCAACTCCATTTGCGAGCTGGGTTTGATTTCACCAGAGGGTCATTTTGAGGTCGATTTTCGGTGTTTTTTCTTCTATGTCCCCGTTGCCGGGGAAATTTCGTCAAGTTTAAATTATAATATAGATATGTATCTATATAGATATCACGACAATCTGTCGTAAAACAGGGGTTCTAGAAAACCCACTTCCCGATGCTCCTGAAACCTGAAACTTTTGTTGCAGTCGATTTGGTCAACGTCTAGACGCCCTGAAAAATTTCAGATCTCTAACTCAATTTTAACATGGTTTTTTAGGCACCTGAATATGGCGATTTTGGGTTTTTTACCGAATTTCGTATAACAGTGCTGGCGAGTATTTTATGCAAATTTCTTAAAAATCTCAACATAATTATTTTTTATTCCTGTCATCTTTGACACCAAATTAGAATGTTTTGAACTAAAAATAAATCTGCTGAACGACTTCCGATGAGTCTTAACTCTTAATGCCTGAAAAACTCCTGCCGGAGGCGGCGGCCTTCGGCCGCCGCCTCCGGCCGGAGTGCACGCTTCGCGTGCACGAAATAGGCTTGTAACGTGTACCAAAGGGGGTATAATAGTAAAGGGGGAATAATAGTAAAGGGGGTATAATAGTAAAGGGGGTACATAGTATACCCACAATAAATGCAACGGTCGTGCTTGCCAGCACTGTGAAAATCTGTTCTCGTTGTAACAACACTTGAATTGGAATTTTATAAAGATTCAGATGAATACCACCTTTATTGGGATGTAATATCGCCTATGCAGTTCGATTCTTGAAATTTGGTATCGGAAGTTCGTGACCGAAATCGGTTTTGTAGCTAGTAGAATAATTGAAACAATTAATTGAAAAACATTAAACATTTGAACATTTAACCTTCTATCACGTCCTACCCTTCCGTCACACATTGCGCCACACAAATAGTCTAATTATAAACGCACTCGAATGATATCTGGACTCTGACACACACTAATCACAGCCTTCCGACATTTGTATATATGTGACAGTATGTGACAGCAACCGTTGCCGGTAGTAGAGTTGCTTTTAGTGGTAGTTGAGGGAAAGGAGGT